GGAACAGGGGGTGAATACTTCTGTACATCTTTGTTGCCTTTAATAAATTTGCAAAGCCTTGTCTTTTGCCTTTGTTGTTATGGGTCCATCCATCCATCCATCCATCCATCCATCCATCCATCCATCCATCCATCCATCCATCCATCCATCCATCCATCCATTTTCTTTACACCCTTGTCCCTTAGTGGGGTCGGAAGGTGCTGGTGCTTATCTCCAGCTAACGTTCCGGACGAGAGGCGGGGTCACCCTGGACAGGTCGCCAGTCTGTCGCAGGGCAACACAGAGACAGACAGGACAAACAACCATGCACATACATACTCACACCTACGGAGAATTTGGAGAGGCCAATTAACCTGACATGGGTCGTTATGTTTAAAACATATGTTGTATCATAAAATATAGAAAGAGGGAAACTTTCTGAGTACTGTACTCTGAATAACTGAGTAGACAAATGGATACTGGAATCATGAGTCGTATCATATCAAGTGCTCTCACTGTGATAGTCTGTTGATCATGCAGATGAGACGACAGGCCTCCTTCTCCTTCTCTTCTTCTGTCATGCCTTCCATTGGGTCGGGCTGCTCTGCCTCCACCCTGCCTGTCACCAGGTTAATCTTTGATCTGGCCTGGCGGTACTCCTCTGTGTCTGAGTCGGAGTCGCTGGAGTAGTGAGAAGCAAACTGGCCATCCCCAGAGTTCCTCCTGCCGTTCAACAGACCCCGAGCTGCCAGCAGCCCTGCAGCGTTCCCATAGCCAGTGTATTTAACAAAGCGGCTTACTGCAAAGACACACAGAATGAGAACCATACTGAGGCAACCCTTCACAAGAAAGATTGTATTTCACATAATGGATGCACATGCAGCTTTACTGCATAAAGAGCCAGGCCGGCCTTTAAACGTTCACTGGTTGCCAGTGGCAGTTTCTGATATGGTCGACATGGGCAACTGCCCAGGGCGGCATCTTATGGGGGACAGCATGAGTGTGCCTCTCCCTCCGGTTTATTTGAAGACACTGGAATGGATTGGGGGGCGCCAGAAAGTTGGTTCGTCCTGGTGCCAAACAAGCTGGTTGCCAAGGTTCTTGCTGTTTTAACATTAGCTAGCACGTTGTCAGTCAGTGTCCTACAACTGTTTAACACAGCATGATAAAATGAGTTATTCTATCAAATTGACATTAGTGAATGAGATATGTCTTAAGCATTAAATGCAGGTGACAAGATAAAAGGCCCAAATATTGGACATTACCAATTAGCAATATTAAAACCATTTGTTCACAGTGAGATCAATGAGATTTGTTGAGTCCTTCTAAATAAAACATATGGTGAGCAATATGGCACCGGATTAGGGTTTTCCTAAAATGTAAGTTTTTCTTTAAAAAAAATCCTAGTTTGGTCACACTTAGAGGGGAAATAAAGATGCAGCTGCATTCAGGAAGCCTTCAGAAGTTTAAAATGCAGCAGGTTGAATGGGAGGCAGTGTGAGGTACAGAGACTCTAAAAATAAAACCTGACAACTGCAAATGCGACAAAGCTGCATACAGGAGTCGCAGCTGCTGAAGACTGCTGTCTTCCAGTTGTAAATGATTTTATTAGCCTAACTGTAAATAGTTCAAATAGTTAGAATAATGTATTCTTGTCTGCGTTCTGAAGGCAAAATACGCAGTAGAGTGGCTGCTGAAGCAACATCTGTTCTGTTCACCGATATATATTTAATAAGGTTACACAGAAGTATGAGTGAGACATCTCCATTTTTAGCAGATCCTCTTTATTTTTCACTCCATCCCCAAACACAACACAGCACAAAGTTTCCTGTCCTCAGATTGCCTGTTACTGCATCCCCCTTTCTAAGTAGGATCTGTTATGAGGGTCTATGAAAGAACATGTAGAAATGTAAACTTAAATTACACAGCAGAAAGACACATTCTGTAAAATAATCAAAATTAGTTCAGTAATCTTGCCCAACTTTTCCAAAGCAGAATATTCTAGGACTCTATCTTAATATAATTGTTTATTTTTCTATTTAACACTAACAGTGCACAAACTTAAATTTCTTTCTAATCGCAGTCCAACATTGGAACTAAGATACATGCATCTCAGGACAAACATTGAAATAATTTCTGTAACATTTAACTTTAGCTACAAAGAGGGCGGAGTGGACTGCCCAAATTGCCTACCTGAGTGCAGGGATTATTCTGCCTTATGCAGGAAACTCACTCAGTTCCTATTAGCAAATATAATCAGCTGGAGGTGTCATAGTTCTCTGTGCAACTCGACTCTCAGGTCTGATCCTGTTAGTCTCCATCTGGCCCAGGTGTGTGTAGAGCACCCATTATTTTTTTTTAAATAAAGTCAATTGTTGTGTTAACTTTCTTCTACATTTGAGATGCATCATTAGCAGTCACAAATTAATACGATTCAGATGTTCATACATGTCTTCTATCGCTGTACAAGTAAGTACTTCCTCTCTACAACAAGGCTTTGTATAGAGTGCGAATGAAATAAACCTTGCTTGCTTGTTCTTTAGAAATACCATTAGATGGTGTATTTATTTGACCATGACTATGCCTGTTTTGTAGAACAAAAACTTTCAAGCATTTATGTTGACTCACAATCACTAATATCTTGAATGATTGGACACAAAAACATTTAAAACTTTTATGAGGACAATAACAAAACATGTAGAATGTAATTGTACCATTTTCTTTGCAGAGCACAAACAGCAGCTCTGCTGCACAGTCCTTAACATCTGTATCAACATGTGTCATCAGGCGGACTAGCTGGCCTCTTAGAGTACTGTCCTGCTCAGGCCGAACAGCAACGTCCTTCAGAGGAGGTAAGATCTGAGACAAAAGGTTACGAGAGAAAAAATACAGTTCTGATTCAAATATTAATGTGTTCTGTACCACCAATGAACCTCCTAGAAAAATATATGTTCAAAACTTTGTTCACAACAAATAAACATTCATTTACCTAATTTATTCATAAAATTAATAATATCCCATGCAGGAGTGTTGCAGTGCACTACCTTGCTTCTCAAGGCAGTGCATCACTCTCCTCCTATATTCAGGCCCCAGTGAACTCAAATACTTATTATAGCTGTAAGTTTAACGTTAGCATGAGGCCTATGACTGGAATGTAGAGCAAGTAGCATTTATGTGTGTTATAACTAACATGTTGACTAACAGTGACTTAATCAAGTCAGTATGCAAATATTAACGTGTAAGCTAAAATTAACCAAAATGCTAAGATTAGCTCAAATGCTGTCAGTAGCATGTGGCCTACTAGCATTTTGACCTACTAGCATGTTGACGCTACCATGAGAATGTGTTCTATCTTTGTTCTAAACCAATATCCCATTCAAGGCATTTGTCAACTTCATATGTAAAGCAAGGAATAATGAGGCTTTTATTTTTTAATTTTTCAGTAAACTTCATAACAAAAGGCCACATTAATCCCATGTGTAAAAGTGATTGGGTTAAACCATATAAAGCTCCAAACAGCAATTACCTGCTTTGAAAAAATTGAAGAATTTTATTTTGTAGGATATGTGATGTTCTTATTTTGACAGCTCAATGTGGTTGTCAGTTTAGGGGCATCAAGTTTCATGAGTCACATATTCTTCTCATTCTCTTCTGCCATCTTGCCTGTAGTAAGTGTTCAGTCAAGGTGGCATTTATGTAGTTCTATCAGCTCTGCCTTCCTCAATAGTAAGTGTTAAAACTACAGAGTGAGAGAGAGGGAGAGAAAATTCTATCTATTTGAGGCAGTCAGTTTCACTGAAAAAAGCAGCATTCAGGAACGATAAGACTTATCCGAAAACCATTGAAAGGCAATTTGTCGTCTTCAGTACGACCATGATTCATATCTGTATCTCTATTTACTCTGGTTATTTTTATGTGGTTTTAAGTTTGAAGATCTGGAACATTCAGAGGTGATAAAAAAAGCAAACACAGAAGAGAGACAGAATATGAATGCCAGTGCAGTCAAAGAAAAAGAAAAATTTTACCTTTTGCCTCAAGTAGTGACGTGTCTCCCTGTGAACCCGAGAACTCTCTGTCAATAAACTTAGAACAGGAGTCAGCTTCTCTTTCAGCTTCTGACCCTGAGAAAAAAATAGGTTTTAAAGTTTTTAAAAGCCTATAAGACTGCATCCATCATAAAGAGCAGACTGAGTTCCATTCTATGGCCATGCCATCGAAAGCTGAGCAATACTATTGCAGGCAGTTCCTGGAACATCCAGGAACTGGATTTAAGAAATTGGATGTTCCAGGTATTGAATGTTGTGATACAGTCAGTCACAACAGGGTGGAAGTCAGCAAATGCAGGAGACACTTAAAAGATGCATTGGCACCATACAAGGGAGTTTGATTAGGCCACATTATTGGTCAGCATGAGACCACATGGTTTTACAATTACCAAACCATGTGAAGACACCACAGCAGAGAAATCTGTGTCTACTTGAATTTCCTCAGAAATTCAAGTAATTTGGTGAATATATAGAAGAAAAATTGCAAATAAAAGTATCAATCTCATCACGTTTGTATTGTTCTGATACCAAAAAAGATTGATCTTTAGACCGATATGCCCAGTTTCTACCTATGACAGCATATCTACTTGCCCTGTTCAGTCGTCTGTCCATGAAGAGCACCAATGCGTGTACACAGTCCATGTTGACACCTTCATACTTATAAGACGCCTGTCCTACAGGGACAGCCAGCAGGACATCCAGGCAGGTCAGGGGCAGGGCTGACAGGATGTTTACTGTATGTCTGAGGGGAAAATACTTTATGAACGTCCTTCAACTGTTCTTAGTTCATTTTTCTCAAGCATATCTGTAACATGTATATAACAATGAATTGCTGGGTTAAAGATAACCCTCTGACCCTTGTAGTTCCTCCAATGTGTCTGCTCCATCACAAGACAGCAGCAGACAGTGGTGTAGGACAGCTGCCAGGCGGCGATATAAAGCAGCTTCCTCCTGGAAAGACATCCTTCAGATTTAATCTCTGACCAAACCTCATGAACTAAATTTGGATGTCATCTTAAATTTCACCACAAAAAACAATCCTCTATAAAGGCATGGGCACATGAAGCACTCTGGCAATCCTTATTATGCTTGTTGCGTTAGCTGTTTTTATTTCATTTGGTTAATCCATTCCACCCTAAAATGTTTCACTGGCCTGGTCTGACCAACTCTATGAAAACTTTCTGAGGAACCCCTGCCTAACTATTTAGATGTTTGCCTAGCACTGGTGGCTTCGTGTTTTCACCTCATCAGGCTCCTGCCTGTATAACCTGTGAGCAACGTTGAAGATGATCTTGAGAATCTCAATAACATCCTGGGACACCTCCTTGGAGACAGGAGAGGAAGTGCTGTCAGGGATCAGCTGATTTCCATCGGTCCATCTCAAGACCAGGCGCTGCTCCAAAGCTGAGGTCAGAACCAACACCCCACGCTCCTGAGGCAACCAAAGCAAAGCACTGAGTTCTACCCATGGACCGTGGTAAGCAGCTTCTGAAGCATTAGTTGTAATAAAGAAATTGAGTGTTTGTAAAAGTAATCACACCCTTTGAACTGTTTGCATTTTGTCACTTTACAGCCACATAATTCAATGTGTTGAATTTGGATTTGATATGACAGACCAACACAAAGTCATACATAACTGGAATATGTTTGCAGATTTCCCATGGACCTCATGGTTTCTTCTCTGATTGAATATTTCTTTGCCCAGCTTTCATAAAACATTTATCCTCAGACGATGTTTACTACGTAGGCAACTTCTAAATCTAACCGGTCAGTCTGGAGTTTATTTAGGGGTCTTGACATAAAATGGTCTCAACAGAAATTGATAATTGAAATCACGGTCAACTGATATGGTAATTAATTCATTGTTAACTAGAGTGTACAGATTGAAAAAAGAGTCAAACCTATCCAAAAAGCTATATACATTTTGCAAAAAACTTTTTTTCAACCAAAATTTTTCAAATGGTAGTTTTAGCTTCTCCCAGTTCTAAGGTCTGAGCTTTTCATATGTAGATACTAGAATTATGTAATTAGCTGCTGATGCATCCTTTCCATCAGCAGTGTTCAAACATTCAATATAGGAATTGTTACGGCTTCAGTGGGTCTCTGCCTTTTTTTCCTTTTAGGGTTCTGCAGACAGGTCTCTGCAGGTGATGCGTGTTGCCCTGATTGGTGTTCTGCAGCTTTAAAACTGCCAGCCATGCAGCAGTGAGGAGGCTTTTCTCTCCTCTCTCCTCAGAACCCCATTTGGTTTGGTTTGTATCTTTTGGTGGAGATTTGTTAGGTTTGTTTAGCATTTGTTTATTTCTGGTCACTTATAGGTTCTGCTTTGATCTATTTTGGTTTCTCATTTCAGGTATTCTTTTTTCAGGGTTATTTCTTTAATATAATTTAATAAATTCTACTTTCATTCAGTTTCTAAATCCTTGTGTGGTCTCCTTTTAATGTTACCCCATCAAACGAGCCTGGTGGACGTAACAGAATGAATTATTTTGGTAACACTTTATTTGAAGGGGTGTGCATAAAACTGACATGACACTCTAAAAGTTGCATTAAAAGTTCCAACTTTGCATGATTTTGTAAATTATGATAATTTTATGCAAAGTTGGCATTTTTAATGGACTTTCAATGCAACTTTGCATTAAAAGTGTCATTATTTACTGAATGACATGTCATTACAACTGTCATAAACATTCATAAAGACTTCTTGTTCATGACAGGTGTTATGTCATGTTTATGACAGTGTCATGCCCGTCTTATGCACACCCCTTCAAATAAAGTGTTACCATTATTTTTAATTGCATTTTTTATATATATTTCTAATATTGCATAAAAAGGCTTAGCCTTTTCATTCTGTAGCTAGTTAAATGAACAATCTACAGAATGTATCCGTTTTTCTATCAAATTAATCATCAAAATAATCAAGAGAATAATCAATTATTACAATTGTTAGTTGCAGCTCAAAACAATGATGCACCACACACTTCTCAGAATTGTATGTAGAAGTTTTTTTAACCTATCTGTCATTTTTCTTCTACATCACCATTATCACATCCTCAAATCTGTAGTTGTGACAGGGGAAAAAATTAATGGTGGGAATACTTTTGCAAATTCATTTCTATAAGTGAATTTTCGCATGCTCAATGTTCCACAAAACACAAAGGTTTAGAGTAAATGACTTGGTACTTGTATAGCAATTTGTTAAGTCCAGAGGACCCGAAGGTGCTTTACACAGCTGGCTGCCATGCACCGGCACCACGGGGCCCTTTGACCCTCACCACCAGACAAGGCTGGTGGCAGGCAAGCCTTGCCTGGTGGTGACAGACATGACAGAGGTGGGTGGAGCAGGAACCAAACCAAACCAGCAATCTGTTAATTGCTGGGCAAACTCCTACCACCTTCATCACCATTGCCCCAGAGTAATGGTTAAGATTAGCAGTAGACTGAGATAAACTTTAGATTAAGCCATTTATAACTGTGATAGGGTGAGGAGTGTTTACCTGCTGCAGCTGTAGCTTGAGCTCAGGCCTCAGGGCTGTTAGTAAGAAGAGAAGCCTCAGTTTGTAAAACTGGCCAGTGGGTGGTGCCCCACTCCAGATTCCCTGCTTCAGACTCTCCCATAATCCCTGTAGAAGCCTTCCCATGGAGACAGACGTGAAGCTTTTAGTGAGGCAAGGGGTTGCTAAGCAGCTGTAAAGCACCATTCATTAAATCTTCAGAGCATCTAAGCTTTTGGTAGAACATGTATGAATAGCACTTTGGTGCTCCTCAAATGAAGAAATGACGCGCCAGTATGCATGGACTGGGATGGTGGTGTCACTGGGAAATCACGAAGAGGTGTGGTTACCCTCATTTCCATACAACCACACTGATTTAATTAGTAGATGCATAGCTTTTTGTAAAGAAAATTATAGCAAAGGTATCTCCTAATAGCAAACCATGGATGTCAAAATTGTTAAAAAATCTGTTGAACAAAAAGGCATTCAGTGAAGGAAACCTCACAGAGTTGAATTCACTTAAAAGGGAAATTAAGAATGACATTTAAAAAAAGGCTAAATTGAATTACAAGGAAAATCTGGTAAAAGACCTTACCAATAATATATTAGGCCCAGTTTGGAATGGTTTAAAACAATTGTTGCATCAAAGATCAAGTGCAACAGAACTGTGGTTATTCCTGGTTTTAATTCTGATATCTAATTGGCAAATGAGTTCAATATGTTTTACCCTAAGTTTGATTCTTCTGATTTTAGTAATGAGATCTAGATTCTGAAAAACCAACTTCTCTGCTCTGATCATGTCCCATTTGACATTGTGTCTGTGTCTGAATCTTTTACACACTGTAAGGTTGGAAAAAGCCCAGGTTCAGGTAATACACTACCTGGCCAAAAAAAGTTGTCACCTGGATTGAACTAAGCAAATTGAACCAAGCCTTCTACTGGATAATTATTTCATAGTCGTTTGTGTTCCAGCTGGTAAAAAGTTATCTGACCCCAATTTGTGCATTAAGTTGCTTATCATTTCTTAAACAACCACAAGAAGACATGGAAAATATGTCAGTCTATTTGAGAAGGGTCAAATCATTAGTATGCATCAAGCAGAGAAAACATCTAAGGAGATTTCTGAAACTACTGAAAATGGGTTAAGAACTGTCCAACGCGTTATTGAAAACTGGAAGGAAAATGGAGACCAGTGGTCTTCAAGGAAGAAATGTGGCTGGAAAAAAATCCTGAATGATTGCTATTGGCGATCACTTAAATGTTTGGCTAAATCAATTTGAAGAAAAACAACTGTAGAACTCTAGTCTATGTTAAATAGTGAAAGTAAAAACATTTACACATGCAGAATGTGAAGAGAAGTCAAGGGACTGAGACTGAACAGCTCTATAGCCTTAAGAAAACCACTGATCAGTGAAGCTAACTGGAAAAAAGGCTTTAAACTGCTAGGGAGCATAAAGATTGGACTCTGGAGCAATGGAAGAAGGTCATGTGGTCTGATGAGTCCACATTTACCCAGAGTGGTGGGTCACATCAGGTTAAGAAGAGAAACAGGTGCCTGCTGAAGCAGAACCATTTCAAAACAATGGCTCAGTGAAAGCATGCTGCAAATCAAAGCTAAAGGTGCTCCAACAAAATATTAGAGTGTGACCTTTTCTTTGATGGTGACTTTTTTTAAGTAATGTAAGTGGTCAACTGCTCTCCTCGTGTGGAACAGTTGGCTCCCATTTTGTATCAAATCTTCCAGATGTCACTTAACCAACAGAGGGTGCCAAGGTGCTGGAAGCAGTCCATCATAATACCTGTGGCTAAGACTGGCCAAACAAAAGTTCTTCAAAATTTTAGACCTTTTGCACTGACTATGAAATCCTTTGAAAAACTGATAAAGAGAGATCTCCTTATTCAGACTTAACACTTTCTTTACCTTTTGGTTGTCTGGTCGTGGGGATGAGAATGACACCGCAACTTTACTAAATGTGTTTTAAACATCTTGAAGGAAACAAAAATTATGATAAGTTGCTATCTGTAGACTTCTCATTGGGTTTTAATAAAATCTAGCTTCACATTCTGATGGACAAACTTTTTAACTTTCACTTAGATTTCAATATGATGGGCTGAATTCTTGATTTTTTAATTATTTAACTGGAGGGATTGTGTAAAGAGGAATGGAAAAGGATCTCTGTCTGCTCCAATAATCTCTATGATTTTGTATCAAAACTAACTGAAGTTTTGAACTCTGACATAATACAGAAACAAGAAAACAACTTTAAAACTGTCACCTCAGTGCGCTGGCTCTTTCCCGGGCCTGGGGACTGTTGTAGATTATATTACACAAGACTTTCATGGCCTCCTTCCTGCACACCTCCCCATCTTCCACTTTCCAGTTTTCCTCACTGTCGTCTTCCCGGGCGTCTTTTTTCCCAGGAGCAAGCACAAGGTGCCCTACGTTCCCTCGCCGGTTAAAGGAGTGACACTCTGAAAAAGAAACTGTACACCTCTGATTGGAATCTACTGCTCCCTGACATCCACTTGCTTCTTTTCCATGGATCTGTGTCTGTGTTCTGTCACACTGATCTTGAATTTTTGTTTTGTCCTGCTGCTGGCTGGGCTGCCGAAGATTGATACCTCCCAGGTGTGTCAAGGTGAGTAGGGCGCTATCAGTGATCATTGGTCCCATAGCTCTACGGTCACGGGAGAGGATTCGCAGAGTATGCAGACAAGCTCTTAGCACTGCAGGCTGCAACTGACCACCGACAAAGCCCAGCAGGGCAGCAGCCAGACCCTGCAGGGAAAAATATTATGATGAAATCTAAGAATTCAGCCTCAGCACAAATCAAATACATCAACATTTAAAGAGTCTTATGTTTATTACATGTGCTGCAGCATCATAGATTCAATTCAAATTCAAAAATACTTTATTAATCCCAAAGGAAAATTAAATGTTATTGTAACTCATTAATTTAGATTCTTAAAAGAGATATTGTAGCTAGTGATGGCTGTTAGCAGGAAAAATCTCCTATAGCGGTCTGTACTGCACTGAATCTGAAGAAGCCTCTGACTGAAGATACTCTGTTGGGAAGCTAACACAGTCTCATGAAGAGAGGATGATCAGGGTTGTCCATAATTTTCTTGATCCTATGAGGAATCCTTCTTTGAATAATCATCTCCAGAGATTATGGAAATGATTATGATTAAACAAATCAATCTAGATACAGGTAAATCTGCTGTAAAAGATGACTGGAGGTTTTGGGAAGTCCAGAGGGTACAGGAGAACAAACAAACCACATCAGTTTACTTGGCCTACCTCTCTGAGAAGAAGATTCGGCCTCTCATCATCTGAGTCAATGTCCGAATCAGAGTTTGAAGCACAGTCCCTTATTTTGTTCTTTCTGAACTGATGAACCAAGAGATGGGAATTAGTAACAATGCACTGATGTTAGCATCAGTAATAATGGGTCACACTGCTATATGTCATATGTTGGGTTTTTTTGTGTGGATTTTTCTGTGTTCTCCATTTAGTTTGAGTTGATTTCGAGGTTTCTAGTGTCTACTTTTGAGTATTACCGGTTTTTCCTTTGTCCACTAATTAGTAATTTGATTCACCTGTTTGGTTAGCTATTTAGGTTTGACGCGCCGCAGGTTTGTTGCGGCAGTTTCTTCACCAACTGAGCTGCGGGGGTCCTTTTTCTTCGATTCATCACCTGTGGTGAGAGGTCCAGCCTCGGCTTCGGTTCCAGTGCCGGTGTTTTCCAATTCGGTAGCTGGAGCAGGAGGGAGGGGCTCGGGACGTCGCCGGCATGAGGTGTTACGAGGAGTTATTCGCCGCCAGGGTTCATCAGTAAGGTTACGTGGACGTTTCCACCGCTGGATTGGTGGAGGGAGGCATTCTCCAGTTCGAGCGCTGGGAACTTTGCTGCGGATCCTGCGACATGTGGTTCGTCCTCCGGGGAACATATTGACAATGAGGCGGCCACCGGGTCGTCCACCTGAGGGTCATGGGAGGTTTTGGTTACGTTCGGGTCGTCCTCCGGAGAGGTTCGGGCCCATAGACTGGGGAAATTTTTTTTCTGTGGTCCCACCAGTTCGGTTTTCCGCCATGCAGACTGTTGGGGGCTTATTTGGTGGAAGTCCGTCTGGGGGTGTTTTTTCTGTTGCCTTTCTCACGCCCATTGTGGGTTGTTTTTGTGTTTTCCCTTACGCTCCCTTCGGGGTTTTGACTTTGGGACTGGGGGTGCCTTAGTGTTTGTTTGGGCATCTGGAATCCGCCCTTAGAGGGGGGGGTACTGTCATATGTTGGGTTTTTTGTGTGGATTTTTCTGTGTTCTCCGTTTAGTTTGAGTTGATTTCGAGGTTTCTAGTGTCTACTTTTGAGTATTACCGTTTTTTCCTCTGTCCACTAATTAGTAATTTGATTCACCTGTTTGGTTAGCTATTTAGGTTTGACGCGCCGCAGGTTTGTTGCGGCAGTCTCGTTTGGGTTTCCTGGTCTGAGTATCCTCTACGCTCTGTGTGAGTTTGTACGTTGTGTTCCAGTGAGATCTGACCTGTATATCTTAACTGACGAAAAGTAAAAGTCTAACTATGACAAGATGAAGAAGGCCTCGTGGTTCCTGTCAACACCAAACACCATCATTCCTGACACTACAGGTCCTTCTCAAAAAATTAGCATATTGTGATAAAGTTCATTATTTCCCATAATGTAATGATAAAAATTAAACTGTCATATATTTTAGATTCATTTCACACCAACTGAAATATTTCTGGTGTTTTATTGTTTTAATACTGATGATTTTGGCATACAGCTCATGAAAACCCAAAATCCGTCTCAAAAAATTAGCATATCATGAAAAGGTTCTCTGAACGAGCAATTAACCTCATCATCTGAATCAACAAAGTAACTCTAAACACCTGCAAAAGATTCCTGGGGCTTTTAAAAACTCCCAGCCTGGTTCATTACTCAAAACCGCTATCATGGGCAAGACTGCTGACCTGACTGCTGTCCAGAAGGCCATCATTGACACCCTCAAGCAAGAGGGTAAGACACAGAAATTTCTGAACGAATAGGCTGTTCCCAGAGTGCTGTATCAAGGCACCTCAGTGGGAAGTCTGTGGGAAGGAAAAAGTGTGGCAGAAAACGCTGCACAACGAGAAGAGGTGACCGGACCCTGAGGAAGATTGTGGAGAAGGGCCGATTCCAGACGTTGGGGACATGCGGAAGCAGTGGACTGAGTCTGGAGTAGAAACATCCATAGCCACTGTGCACAGGCATGTGCAGGAAAGGGGCTACAGGTTCCTCATTCCCCAGGTCAAGCCACTTTTGAACCAGAAACAGCAGCAGAAGCGCCTGACCTGGGCTACAGAGAAGCAGCACTGGACTGTTGCTTAGTGGTCCAAGGTACTTTTTTCAGATGAAAGCAAATTTTGCATGTCATTTGGAAATTAAGGTGCCCGAGTCTGGAGGAAGACTGGGGAGAAGGAAATGCCAAAATGCCAGAAGTCCAGTGTGAAGTACCAACAGTCAGTGATAGTCTGGGGAGCCATGTCAGCTGCTGGTGTTGGTCCACTGTGTTTTATTGAGGGCAGGGTCAATGCAGCAGCTATCAGGAGATTTTGGAGCACTTCATGCTTCCATCTGCTGAAAAGCTTTATGGAGATGAAGATTTCATTTTTCAGCATCACCTGGCACCTGCTCACAGTGCCAAAACCACTGACCATGGTATTACTAAGCTCAATTGGCCTGCCAACTCTCCTGACCTGAACCCCATAGAGAATCTGTGGGATATTGTGAAGAGAAAATTGAGAGACGCAAGACCCAACACTCTGGATGAGCTTAAGGCCGCTATCGAAGCATCCTGGGCCTCCATAACACCTCAGCAGAGCCACAGGCTGATTGCCTCCATGCCACATTGAAGGCTGCAAAAGGATTCCTGACCAAGTATTGAATGCATAACTTAACATAATTATTTGAAGGTTAACTTTTTTGGTATTAAAACACATTTCTTTTATTGTTTGGATGAAATATGCTAATTTTTTGAGACAGGGATTTTGGGTTTTCATGAGCTGTATGCCAAAATTATCAGTATTAAAACAATAAAAGACCAGAAATATTTCAGTTGGTGTGCAATGAATCTAAAATATATGACAGTTTAATTTTTATCATTACATTATGGAAAATAATGAACTTTATCACAATATGCTAATTTTTTGAGAAGGACCTGTATTTCAGGTTCCCAGGCTGCA